ACTTGTGTGCTGATTCAATTGATCCAGGCACACTCGGCACGTATGAATGAACAGCACATCCGTGGTGCTGTGGCTTGCTCTTCTGTGGCGTCCACCGAGATCACCTGGCCTTGGATGTCCAAGAATGACGCAGTGCTCAAGATATGGTGGACACTTCAGCTAGCCACGATTCCCGGCGGCGAAGTAAAATCAGCCGGCCACAGGACTAGTATCTGACCACGGGCGGGGGCTCCTTGGTTGGAGCGCCTGTTGGGAAGAGGGGCAAGGAAAAAAGCAAAGGTAAAAAATGACCGGACCACAGGGAAAAGAACCGGCTTGCAAAAGAAAGCCATCTGAATCAGATATCACATTGTGTGTTTATTCGATGTTGATTTATGAGACAATACAAGGCCGTCTGTTCACATTGTGCTACCGTCAGTGCTCATATGGTGGCAGTGGACAAAGGCTAGAATGTATCCAATACCACTACCACTGTCTTGGGATACCGAACGCGGCCGATAGGCCTGGCTGTCTTTCTTTCCATGCGCCTGTTGACCGAGTCCTTCCTTTTGGTGTTTCAATCAGACAGCCGCCGTTGTGACCAGCAGCCGAAGCACTACGCGTATCTTGGTCAAAGGACGGTGGTTCCACGGTTGGTGGCACGGTCGCGACTTCGCGGCTAACGCCCAGGTGGCCGGCCCCTGGCAGCGCCTGCCAAGAGGAGAGGCAGATCCACGCTGGGGGGCCCAAAATATGCCGGTGCAATGGCGAGTCTAGCATCTTGCCTAAGAATGGTAATCTCATGAAGCAGAGAGCAGGTGATGTTGGATGAGAAGACAAGGTCCTGATGTCGTGGGCGAATGAGCGAGCTCCCCAGGTAAGGTACTTTACTTACCTAAGGTAGAGCACGGGGATAGAGTTATCGACGGGCCTCCGCCCCAAGCGGCGCTTGATACGGAGTTTAGCCGAGGTCGCCCGAACGCGTCTGAGGTGGTGGTCTGATCACCTGATTTAGGGGGATACATCAGCAGCACAGCTGACGTGACGGACGGCAGCAGAGAGTCATCAGTCATCGCTCCAACAAGGTCCCCCTCAGAAAGCCCAGAAAGAAACAGCCCCAAGGTGATAGATCTCAACGCCGTTTTGCTTATTCTCGCAATATCTATCAGATCAACATTGTGCCCCCAGTGGGTGCATCCCCGCCCGCAAGGCAAGGCAAGGCAAGGCAGCCCTCGTATCCACTACCCCGAGTACAACTGCGCTGTACCCCTGATCCACCCCGAGAAAGTGGGTCATCCACGGACCGTGAAGCAAAAAAAAAAAAAAAATTGGACATGCCGTTCTCACTTCCGTCTTCATCTCATCTCAACAAACAACTCCCTCTCACAAACAGCAACCTCGTTGTCCAACGACCACGGCCTCCGTCGTCAGTCGACACCTCGGTCGCACTCACAACAACGAGCGCCTTCTTCTTCCCCGTCGCTGACCACGACGGCCACGGCCACGCGCACAACTACACGCAGCTCCTGCTGCCCACGCAAACCGCGACCTTCACCCAGCCGCCGCAGCGGCAACCGCAACCGCCGCCTCCGCCACAACAGCAGAAGCAGCCCAGCATGCCTCGACGCGCTGCCCCGGAACCTAAGCCGCGCAAGCCGCAGTACTCCCCGGAGAAGCGTGCGCGCATCGCCGTCCTCTCGGAGCTGGGCATGTCGCTCAAGGAGATCTCCGTCAAGGAGGACGTCCCCGTGTCCTCCATCAAGGGCATCGTCACGCGCTACCGCCTCCAGCAGGCCGGCCGCGACCGCCCCCGCCCCGGACGCCCGCGCATCCTCTCCGACCGCGACGTCAAGACCGTCCTGCGCGTCCTCAAGGAGAAGCCCGATATCTCGTACGCCGAGCTGAAGCGCGACGCCAACCTTACCTGCGCCACCAAGACCCTCGTGCGCTATCTGCAGATGGAGGGCATCAAGCCCAACAAGCCGCCCCCGGGCGACTCCGAGGAGGAGGCTTCGAGGATGCGCGTGCTGGCTGAGCCTGAGCCTGCCGACGAGGAGTGAGTGGCCCACGAGAGAGCCAGTTCTTCACGAAGCAAGCCGAGCCTGGGGATGAGTCGTCGTGCAAGCGATGAGATTCATCGTCGTTGGGCTTGGGATTATGAGTGGTAGCTTCTTATGAGACGGACGACTTGTAAGCGACGCCCGCGTCAAGATATCGCGTGCATGAGCTGATGATTGATGGCAGAATGAATATGATTACCGAAAGGCGAGGAGCAGGGAGTTGGGCGTTACCGCCACCATGCCGGGGGTTCACCCCAGGCGATTGAGTTTTGAGGAGCAGCATCATTAGCGATAGCGCAGCCGCGACGAGGACCGGCAGACGGTGTACAGAACGTCAGCTCCAATTTGCTTCATTTCCAACAACCCTTCGACTTTCCTGCGCACGCGCGACGAGGCGCTTGCTGAGTAGAGCCTGCATGAGCAGCTCTGCGCTGGTCAGAGGAGGGGCTCCCATCACCATCTGACGTCAATTCATCTGATGGACATTGGTCTTGGGAGGATGTGTATCGAATAGACGAACCAAAAGACAGAATCATGGCTACAAATCAACCAAGTATCAAGAGATTAATCGAAAAGAAAGAATCCCGCTCACTCACCTAGTTATTCGTGTCCTTAGGTCCCATAACCTCTTCAACATGAGCCGGGTAGGTCATGCCGCCTTTCTTCTCAGAGCGATCCTTGGGCAGCATACCTTGAATCTGAGCCCTCACCCTCCACATCCCCCAATCCACATCGACGACCCTGCGATCAATAAACACCAACCGGCCGCCCTCCCTCACAGCCCCGCAAAACACCTTGACCCAGTTGACCTCCCCGTCCACCTCCCACTCGTCCACCTCCCAGTCACACAGCTCCCACCCCGGCGACCGCACATACTTACCGCCGCTCCGCAGGCCCGCGATGACCAGGTCCTGCAGCCGCAGACAGCGGCTCATCTCCGCCGCGCCGCGCCGGATGCCTTCGTCTTCCGGCTTGCCGCGGGCACCGCGGTACCCGCGCCCGTACGACCGCAGGTCGAGGAACACCGTCTCCAGCTGTGGCATGACGCTCCAGTCCACCTGCAGCATGCTCGCGCCGGCCTCCACGAAGAACCGCATCCCGAAGCCGACCTTGGGCTCGGGGTTGCGCCGCAGGCGGAGCCGGAACCAGGGGTCTTTGGGGACGCTGTGGAACATCAGGTGGCGGGGCAGCTCGCACATCTGCGTTTCTGCCGTCCGCACTGGAGGGTGGTCCGGCGAAGGTTGCTCTGCAGGGTCATACTCACCAAAGACCAGGCCGCCGTGTGCCATGTACTTACCTATGTCATCGTCGGGCGCCCGTGGGAAGATTTGGTGGTAGCGCTGAAGTCGGGTTCGCTCCAGGTCTTTCAGGGCCCAGTCCATGGCTGCAGGAAAGCGTGACTTGAGTTCTTCGATGGTCCGACATGGGATGTTGTTTTTCAGAGGGAACGAGATGTGGTCACCTTCGCGATGTACGTTACCAGAAGTAAAAGTTCCTCGACCGCCATTTACTCCTCGGGTGTAAACTTGGGTTCTCTGTAGATCATACGCGGCGTTCACCGGGTCGTTTCCGTGAGAACAGACGCCCCATTCTGGGACAAACAGAGCAAAGACACAGGGGCTGCTGGTCGAGAGAAGTTCTAACAAGACGTGATGCTGGATTTCGACTGGCAGGTTAGTTAGTCGGTCGAGCACGGAAGGGCCCGGAATGTCGCCCATGGTTGGCAGCTGAGTTTCCTGCCAGGTAGTCGACCGCGATGAGGCTTGAATTTCGAGAGTTACTCAGTGTGGTCTTCCAGGGCATCTTATACCCCAGACGCTGGTTTCTTCTTGGTTCTCGTCACAGCGTGACCGATCGCGGCCTGGCCCGCTTCTTTGTTCTCGATGCCACCACAATGCCCCAGTTCTTCAGCCTGAGAACAATGCCATTGAAACTCGGGCCTTGACCCTCGAGACCTCTAGGCCTGGACCTGATCAAAGCCTCGAGCAGTGCGGGCCAACCAACCTGTTCTTGCCTCTGCTCCTGAACACAAAGTCAGCGGTGGTTGGCTCAGAGCTTCCACGCGTCTGCAAGTTTCGCCCCAGCCAACGGTCTCGGGTAAAGGGCTCATGGAAATCGTACTCGTAAGCCAAGACTCAAATACTCAGTTGGTCAAGCATGCCCCCCGTCGATATGCTCCTAAAGCTGTCGTCTAGAGCTGCAGAATCCCGAAGGCTTGACAAGCCTCGTCGTCGGAATATAATCAGCTGCTACTCTGGTGCCTTTATCTCCAACTTATTCGGGAGTTAGAACGACAGAAACAATCGACGATGACGTTGACCAGACCTGAAAGCTGGTGTTGTCTCATTGATCAGTATCAGACACCCGAACCCAGGGTCCTTGCTCGTACTGCCTGCCTATGGGATGGGCTCAAGGATGGCTTCTCTCTCTCTCTGCAATAACTCCAGCCACATTGCTATGGTGCTGGATGTAGACCTTGGTGATCAGCACTGTTGAAAGAACCCTTATCGCCAGCTGCCTGAGAGTAGGTAAACATTGATGATGCCGTCTTCTACTCGAAACAGGCTACGAAACGGGACGGCATTCAATAATGTTATACTTGCAATACTATTATGCTTGAATGCTTACAGCGCGATATAAAGCCGATCTTTTACTAGATTGAGACGGAGATTGTAGAAATGGGGCTTGTAGTTGTTCGCGTTCAACCGTCAAATATACAAGATCATGTTATACAGATCCACTCCCGCTACGCACGCCATGTCTGTTGTAGTAAAAATTGCCCACTGAAGACCGATGTCACTGTCGCTACTACATGCTACGATTCGGAATACTCCTGGGGGTCTAATGTCTATAGACAGAGCCAACTTCATTAGACACTCGGGCTATTTATTACAACCATTCATCAAAATGCTCATTGCTGTCATACTCTTTTTCATCGAGAAGAAAATCTCTCCTCCCTTGTCAATGCTTAGACCGGAGAAGGTCCCGCCCTGAGTGCCATACACCCTTTGCACCTCGGGCAATCTCGTAGCGTCCGTCATACAGAGGGTATACTACAACCGCAAAGAAAGCAAAGAACTGCCAGATGATAGCCACCGTCGTCCAGCTCTTGAAGAAAGTCTTCTCAAAGATGTAGTCGCGATATAATGGCATCGGCCAGAGAATAAAGGTGACCAGAACGATGCCGACGAACATGTACCAGGCAATGCGGTACCACTTATACAGCAGCTTGATCGTGTCTTCGTCAAACGGATGACGGACGTCGTCCAAATTGACCTCGCCATTCAGAATAGCATCCCTGGAAAACACCGCAGCTGGGGTTTTCTCGTTTCCAGCCGTTGCTGCGGTTCGTTCCGGGTCCGATGCCTTTTCAGGACTCAGCAAGGACGGCGCCGGTCTCTGTGACTCGGAAGTGGACGAGTTATTCCCATCGTCAGTGTCCTTCTCTGCTTCGGTGCTCTGTTTCAGCTGGACTTCCTCCGCGATTTCTGTAAGCAGAAACCTCCTCCAATCGAACTTCTCAGGCTTGTATTGCGAAAGAAGGACCGAGTACAGAGCAGGTGAGAAGAAGGAAGCGGTTGCCCCGTACAAGGCTGGCAAGCTCCCCTCAGTTGTCTTCATGTTGATCTCGCCGTAGATTACGTGGGCTGTTCCAAGCCAGATGCCCAGTCCGGTGAGGAAACCTAGGATGGGGGAGACGATTGCTGCCAAGCGAGTCTGACCTGACCAGCACAGAGTCAGACCCAGTGGAATGATACCAGGACAGGACAGAATCGGGCGGAAGTAGCCGATCCATGTCATGTCGGCGCCTCCGTAGTTCAGAGCTAGTGAGATGGCAGTAATGAAGACTGCGTGAAAGACGACGGTCAAATGACTGACGTGCACCAGCTTCTTGTCTGAGGCTTTGGGGTTGATGTAAGTCTTGTACACGTCGAATGACAAGATGCTGCTGACTGCAATCATAGATGACGAGACGGTGCTCGTCAGTGCCATGAAGACCAAAACTAGGAAGGCGTCGATTCCCTGATCACCGATCAGTGCCTTGACGGTGTAAGGCATGACGAGTCCTGCGTTGACCTGCGCCAGCGTAAATTCTTGCGGGTAGGCAGGCCAAATTGGAGTGTTGTGAAGCGCTCTTGCGGTAAGACCAATAACGGTGCCGAGACCCCATGGGATGCCGAAGATAGCTGCGGCCGCCAGGTTGTATCCGGGAACGGTTGCGTTGACTTCTGTCGCGAAAGACTTTTGCCAGAACGCAGTGTCCTGTTAAAAGGGTCAGTTTCATAGTCGTAGGAATACTAGAATTGAAAGTACGTACCATCACAACAAGAGCCAAGTTACCAAACTTCAGAATCAAGCCCCAAATGATTGCATCTCGGGACTTCATCGTAAGCAAAGACCCCTTGTAGTTACCGTCGATCATATTCTCCGAAGCTGTCGCTACGACTTTGTCGTAGAGACCTCCGAGACCACCAACGGCATCGTGCGTGAGAACCTTGAGCGTGAAGTAGATAATGAGGACTAGAGCAATCAGCGTGTGCAGGTAGTCGGTGATGAAGGTGGCCTTCAATCCGCCAACAGCGGTGTAAAGCACGACTGCATCGCGACTTATTAGTTTCAAGTTTCCATAAGATCTGCAGAGAATACCAACCTCCAAGTGGGATGAGAATCGTTGCAGCCACGAAGTGCATTCCCGAGATACCGTAGATAAGCTGTGACCCTGTGAGGATCATGCCTGCACAACCAAAGACGTTGTTCGTGATATTGAGCACGATGAAGACAATGTGTCCAATCCAGCCGTAGCGCATTCGAATGATTTCAAGTGACGTGTGGGCGTATGGAACTCGGATCTTTGCCAAGACGCCCAGAGCCGCCATCAGAGCGATCTGGAAGCAGAGACCCGTTGACCACCACTGATGACTGTATTAGTGACCACTTCGAGAGAAGAGTGAGTTGAACGCACGAAGGGCACTGCAAGGCCAAATTTGTAACAGAAAGCCGCCGAGAAAACCGTTTCGTTGATCCACATCCACGAGGAAAAGACCGCCGACGCCGTCAGCCCAGTTCCGACAGACCGGTTGGCCACCATGAACATCTCCGAAGTGCCCGAGTCTTCAGCCAGGTATGCCTTTTGGATCTTGACGGCTGCGAGAATGACACCGCAGAACCCGATGCCCAACCCGATGAGCATGCCATAGCCGGTCGACTGGGGGATCAGGGTCTCCCCCGACACGCCCAACTGAACCGACATCCTCAAAGCCTTGTCTTTTCTTGGTATGGAGAATAAAGAAGTGCGCCAAGGCAATCAAAGACAGAATGTTGGCTCGAGGACCTGTGAGCCACTCTTGGCCGGCCTCCTTGGCCCAGGAACACCGTCTCTTAAGAATGATCGTGGCTGCAAAGCTTGACTTTGACCCGAGATCGGTATCTCAGAGCCCCAGTTCTCGGTCACATCTTAGATGCCCCGCATTGCGTTATGTGAACTCAATCCATGTTGGCAGCTACCCTGATTATTCACATGTATAAATTCAATTCCGGGTCCATACCACAGGAGCAAGTTGGGGGCTGTTGCGGGAGAAGTTGGTGGTATCGGGGGATTTCGTGAGTGGGGGTCGACGTCTCGGTAGATCGCAATCGGTTGCGTGCGATGGTGCAATATGTCGAAAGAGCCACCCATGCGTAATCCCGCCAAAGCTATTGGGTCTTTGTGGTTTCGAAACACGCGCGATCGGCAATCCTTCAAGACGAGATAACAGGATAAAGTTAAGATGGTAAATCGACAAGATCCAAGCAACGGCGTGTTCGAGAGTTTGGTTGAAAGCACTTCTCCGCAAACAGAAATCCCAATTACTCTTGCCTTTGAAACATTAAAAACATATTCAACATGGCGGACACGACAAACGCTCAATCGAGCGATAACACGGCCAAAGTCAAAAAGCAAATCATTCTCAATGCCTTTGTGATGAACACCCCCGGCCACTTGGCCCCGGGTCTCTGGAAGCATCCGCGGAACAATACCGACCAATACAAGAAACTCTCTTTCTGGACCGAGCTTGCGCAGTTGTTGGACAACGCCGGCTTTCACGCCATGTTCATCGCCGACACCCTGGGCCCCTACGACGTGTACAAGGGTCCGGCGAACGTGGTCCCGGCCCTGGCCTCCGGTGCGCAGTTCCCCGTCAACGACCCACTCTACTTGGTTCCGGCCATGGCGGCGGCCACCAAGAACCTCATCTTTGGGGTTACCGCGAGTTTGACCTACGAGAAGCCTTATTCTCTGGCACGCAGGCTGTCGACGGTGGACCATCTGAGCGAAGGACGGCTGGCATGGAACATTGTCACTTCATATCTGGACAGCGCCGCGCGAAACCACGGCTTGCAGGAGCAGATCCCCCACGATGAGCGCTATGCCATTGCCCATGAATATCTGGAGGTGCTTTACAAGCTTTGGGAGGGCAGTTTCCGCGACGATGCAGTCTTGGCTGATCGCGAGAGCGGGACTTACATCGCCAGCGATGCGGTCAGTCAGATTCATCACAAGGGCAAGTACTTTGAGGTACCAGGACCGCATTTCGTCGAGCCGTCACCACAGCGCACGCCGTTTTTGTTCCAAGCTGGTGTCTCCGAAGCTGGAAATGGTTTCGGAGGCAAGCACGGTGAAGCTATCTTCATCGGCGGTCAAACTATAGAAGGCGTCCGGAAGACGGTGGACAATCTTCGGAAGATCGCAGCCGAGGAGGGGAGAGACCCTAACCACATCAAGATCATCTTGGGCATCAACGTTATCGTGGCAGCAACAGATGAAGCGGCCGAGGCAAAGAGACAAGACTACCTAAAGTACGCCGATACCGAAGGAGCCCTCGCGCTATTCGGCGGTTGGACGGGAGTCGACCTGTCCGGATACCCAGATGACGAGGACTTTCTCATGACCGATTCACCTCGTATCCGATCCATCGTCCGTCGCTGGTCCGACACCGTCCCTGGTACAGACAATCTTCCCTGGACGAAGAGGCGAATCGTTGAGTACCTCAGCATCGGCGGCATGGGCGCCAAGATTGTGGGCAGTCCGACGACGGCCGCTGATGAGTTGGAGCGATGGGTTCAAGGAGCCGATGTTGACGGCTTCAACCTGGCTCATGTCACGAACCCCGGTACTTTTGAGGATATCATTGAGCACTTACTTCCTGAACTTCGGAAACGCGGAATCTTTAGGTCTGAAGTCGAGAAGGAGGGTGCGACGGCAAGAGAAGTGTTCATTGGGTCAAGGAGGCTGCCTAAAGACCACCCGGGAAGCAAGTACAAATGGCAGGCTGGTGAGGATAGACCACCGTTTTTGGGAAAGGACGACGAGAAATCAGGCCAACTTTAGAGCGTCTCACGGATTCAACAGGTATGGATCCTGTGCCCTTACATATTACACATGAATCTTATGTACCCAGAAATAAACTCTTTCATTAGGAGAAGCTATTAATACCCTTCTATAATTCTTTCGTCAAGTTAACGAAAAAAACCAATCCATTGGGGCTATCGCTCTGACTGCTGCCTACTTGGGTTTGTGTTCGCGGTTACGGACTCTTGCTGGCTGAGTCAATTATGCCCGTAATTTGAGGGGAGGATCAGCCTCCGAGGTGAGGATACTTGAGGGTTCAATAGAATCTACAAAGTTGTGCCAACAAGTCTGGCCTATCCCGTGTGAGCTGAATACTCGACAAGAAGTAGTCCACACAAACGACGATGAGCGCACTCTCTGGTTTCGGCACCTTTAGCATCGTAAGTAACACCAAAAATGACTACACCCTATTCCACATTGTTTCATAGAACTTTCGCAGCGGAGCTGCCATTGTCACATGGACACGCACCAAGTCGAGACATCGCGTTATGTGTATTTATGCTTCCCCGTGAGATCGCGCGTCAATCTTGCCTACATGAAGCTCTATCGGGGGAATCAAGCTAGGCGAACAAATTGCATGTTCTCCTCGTTTCTCAAGCCTCCAATGAAAGCTACAAATGTTACAGATTCTAACAGTATTGCTATGAAGACGCAAATCAGTGCTGGGCACCGTCGATCGCACAGGCACAGGCTGCTTAACGCATTCGAGAACAACCGTGATCCGTTTTGCGACAAGATCGTCACGAAATGGGCATCGTCGCTCGTGTCTCAGACCACTAGAAGCTTGCTTCACTGGCGTCTTTCATTGCTTACAATATCGTCAAGAATACCCATCAGGCATGAGTGGCCAGCCACAAGTCGGTCCCGTCCGTGATTGACAAGCGTGGTGTTCTGGAAAGCGTTACAGGAAATAGCTGAGACAGATGCTCGAACAGATGCTCCATATCAGCGCCCTATAGCTCTGAAGAGAAGGCAAAGTAATTCGCATTCTTAAAAACGATTTAAAGTCTGATGACTATACCATGCCGCCAAATAGTTTCTCAAATTATGCCCTATCTTCAGTTTAGACCCCCTGAAAAAGGGAAAGCTGCTCTGTTGATATAATTCTCGGCCCAAAATCGCGAACACCAAGCGAAAAGCGTGGTAAGATCATTTAGAGTCGTACGAGAAGGAGGCGCATGAGAAAACTGGACTACTATGCTGTGAGCCGACCACTGTCCATTCTGTATCATGCATGCCGGCTGTGAAGTATTCTATGAGAAACGATGCCCGACGACGACAGTAATAAACAAACAATAAACCTCGGTCTGTTTTGACATGAACGCCTGAAATCTAACCCGACGTGTATTTAAGATAGATGCAGAGGTGTTCTTGAGGCTGCCCAAGACAGGACAATTGTCCGGTGCAGGCTGCGATGTATTGCTTGGTCGAACGCTCTGGCGACATTCTTCTTAATTAGAAGCTCCGAAACGAAAAGCTTTCAGAAAAACAAAATCGCTCGGAGGCCGAACCACACACATCATCCGTCGAGTATTCGCACAGCATACACTGGGTCCAACAACGTCCAGAAAGCAAAACAGAGCATCGCTGCAGGGCCGATCGATCCGCGCGTTCCCAGTAGGTCGATCAGACATTGCTCCTCATCTGTAGAGATTAGTGCACGTGTCATGAGCAAGAGGACAAGAAGACATAAGCGAATCGAATTTGCTGGCATTGGACATGCAGATGATAAGTGCCACATTTAAATAGAAACCTTGCCACCATGGTACGGTCAATACCGACGACTTCCACATTACCATTTTTTAAAATTTCTTTACGCAGTGCAAACTTCAAATGTTTTCCTCTCACACAGCACTCTGTTTTTGGAGGTGTTGTAATAGACCAATCAGAAAACTCCTTCCCAAAACTCCGCCGGTCGCTGGCCGGACGGTGCCGTGGCTCCGGTGAGAGTGGGCCACCGCGGTCCGTGACCCGGAGCTTCGGTATCCTTTGTCCGGCTCACCTGCCTATTCCGTTTGTATCGCTCCGTGTCACCAATGAGTCGTACCCAAAAGCCCTCCAAAACTGTATTTTTCAAAAGTCTATCAAAACATCATTCCACTTACCGAACGGCACAATAGCACCTAACTACAAGAACCAAAAGAAAATCACCACAAAATCTACCTGCGTCAAGGATCATAAATATCAGGTTCCCTCTCACTCACCTTAACCTGCCCACCTTGCACCTGCCCTACCATCTCCCCAATCAGCGGCCCGAACCCCTCCTCCGCCATCCCCATCCCTCCCATGTCCACCTCATTCGCCTCAATCGTCTCCCAATCATCCAACAAGTGCAACGCAGCCCCCTCCCGGACCGGATCAGGCTCAAAGTTCATACACTCCCAAAACACCGCATCCCCCTTGTGCAGCCTCTCCTCGCACACCCGCGCCTCAGCCACCAGTCCCAAATCGACCAAGAAGTCAACAACATCGTACTCCCCCTCCGCGCCCTCCTCCTCCTGCGCCCACGCCAGCAGCCGGATGACGCCCATATACTCCGCCGGCGCCACGTCCCGCGACCACTCCAGCAGCCGGCAGCAGATCTTGGCCCACGCCGTGATCCACTCCATGTCCAGCGTCCCCGCCGCCTCGCGGAACTCCACCGTGTCGTGCTTCGCGTTGAAGAACATCCGCCCCGTCTCGCGCTGCTCCGCCACCGCCCCGATCGTCTGCATGTACCCGAGCGCGTACCCGTCGAACTGGTAGTTGATGTGCTTCCCGATCACGTTGCGCATCATCTCGCCAATCTGCGCCGACGTCATGTCCGCCGCCAGCAGGTCCCGCACGCCCGACATGACGTCCGTCCGCTGGGGGGCCACGCGCGGCACCGGGTTCTCGAGGGGGCCGGCGTCGTTGCCATAGACGTCGTAGCGCATCAGGTACGGCTTCAGGAAGTCCGGGTCCTCGCGGCAGTCCCGCCTCATCGTGCTGGGAACGCGGGGGTACTTGCGCTTCAACGGTGACGGCCGAGGCCGCGGCGGCGCGAACTTCTCCGCCGCGGAGGACATATACTCCTCGAAGTCCGCCGGTCTCGGGACAGGCGCCTCGTAGTCAAGCACCGGCTCCCCGAAGTCGTCGGTCGGGTTCGAAGCAGGCCCCTTATTTACGACAGGCGGGGGAACCTGAGGTCGATGAGTCCACGGCTCCGACTTCAAGACGGCCACGTCGTCCGCTGTGTACATCTCCATCTCTCGCAGCATCTTGTCTTCGTCAGCATCCGCAACCAGAGACTCACCAAGCCATCGATCCCTCCCGAGATACTTCACCTTGCCCATCCAATTTGCGGGGAACCCAAACGGGCGACCCTTCTCCAACTGCTCCAAGAGGCAATCAGAAGGGCCCTCGTTAGCTCCCACCCTGTTGATCCCGTTGACGCGCGCCGACTGGCTGTACTTCGTGATCGCTCTCCAAGGTGCGTGGAGTCTACTGATGAACGGGTCAGCAGCCCACAGTAACGCGGCAAAGTTTCTCAGTGTTCTCGGGTCGATCCTCTCGGTTAGACCGTTGCCCACATGTACGTGAAAGCCACAGGTCGGATTCACGCGGCATCGAAATTGGGTCGTGATCGTGCTCACCGCTAGGCGAATCAAATCGAACGAGATTGGCATGTCGTACATGGCGGGGGAGTTCACTTCGACTTTCGTTATCAAGTAATTTTCAGGCCTGAATTCGCGGAGTGAGCAGTCGTCCACTATCCTGAATGCAGACATGACTTTTTCGCTATGGCTTGCCTGGACGGATCCCGGGACCATTTTCTCTTTGCTGCCGAAGACGGGCAGGCCGGCTTTGATTAACGCTTTTCTTATTTGTTCGCGAACCCAGTCGTCCGGGATCTTGTGTTTACTCTTATCTGGGTATTCTTCGTCGTATGGGACGACAGACAGTGGCTGAATGTCATTTTTGATGGGCTCGTCGGGATCGGGGCTGCCTTCGAAAACGTATGCAACAAAGAACTCGAGCTCGACGCCGAATGAGACGCGAGGGGCAGTTGCGGCTATCTGTTTCCCAGGCATGGTGATGTTTGGGTGAGTTGGTTGCGTTTTCTGTGAGGGTATATGGATCTGCTTCAGTCAATGATGCAGTGGTTGCGAAGAGCTGGTTGATTTGCTGTCAGGGGGACAATACTGGCCACCGACCACTGGGTATTATATCCATCGCGATGCCTGGTGTAGCTCGGGTTACTGAACAATGTGATTGTGTTGACATAGCAAAAGAACCGTCTGGGAATCAGACAATAACTGTCATTGCCCTTTGAGCTGTCTGCAGGGTCGTAAAAGAACACTGTCAGTGAACCGTTGACAACGTGGCCGAATCTTGGCGGCCTACCTTTGTTGGGCAGGCCTTACAAAGAAAAGAGCCTATGGCGGAAGGCAGATGGCCCCGAAACGTGTCAGAAGGGACAGGGGATTGCAGAACCAATTCTTCATTTCTTTTGTCGTCGTCTTGACTGTCTTTGATCATGCCTAAACGCGAAATGCATAGCAAACATTGGGTAACACGACCCATCCCCCGTAACGCACTGACTCCTCCTCGAACTTCAAAATACCATACGGGTGGGAATATCCATCGTCTCCATCGCATAATTCCACGTATTCCTCATCAAAATTAGGGTGCCGCGTGGCAAGCACGCGGGATCGGGTAGTAGGGAAGGTGAATACAGAGAAGTGAAAGCGGCTGCAAGCTCGCCTCGTATTCAAGGCGAAGCCATTGCTAAATTGGGCAGCCATGATCTAGAAGATGTGCATCTAGAGCATGTAGGCGAACAGACCAATCGCAGCAACAGCGGCAGCATTGCCATAGCGGGGAGCGGCGGTAGGGGCGGCGTAACCGGATGAGCTGGAGGAGGCGGGGGTCTGGGAAGCTTGGGAGCCGGTGCCAGTGCCGGTAGTCGAGCCGGAGCCGGTGCCAGTAGCGGCGGCAGAGGTGGTGGTGGAAGAGGCAGCGGAATCGGCCTGGGCGTCGATGGTACCGCACTGGGACTTGATGGAGTCGGTGCAGTTAGTCTGGCCGCGGGCGTTGCCGACGTTGGCAGCGATGCAGTCCTCGAAAGCCTGGTTGCAGATGAAAGTGGGAAGGGTCTGCTCGTAGTACTCGAGTCCGGGAGCGGTGCCGTTGGAGCAGGTGCAGGTGTAGTTCAGGGTGGCCTGCAAAGGTGGAGTTAGCTCGGTCGGATCACAATGGGTGCTGGGATTGTTGCGCCAGGTTTGCGACAACTTCAGAGGCGACTGGCGACTCAATCGGCGCAGTCTGAAGGAATAGAGGGCAACTTACGGGATCACACTCGTTGGCAGTGGCGCGGTTGCAAAGGACATTGCAGACGTTCCGCTCACCAGTGCACCAGGAAGCTGTAGAAATGGTCTGTTAGCACCAAGGTCTAGTTGTGATCGGTAAGGCCGGCCCCGATATGAATGGAGCCGGGACCTTTTTCCCTCGTATTCTTGGGGCCAAACATACCTCTGGTCTGAAGGTTGACATTGGCGACATTGATGTCAGCGGCAGAGTAGACCTTGCGCTGGGCAGAGACAGCGGTGACGGCCGAGATGGCGAGAACGGCGAAGGAAGTACGCATGTTGACGGTGGTGATTGTTGTTGTTGTTGGGTGTGTGGTGATGTGGTGCGGAGAAAGTTTGTTGGGTTGATTTCTGTGGCGGAAGAAGACTGGAGCGTTGTCTGATAGGCAAGCAAGCAATATTCGGTCCAAGAATCGGATAGACGGCGGTGAAGATGTTTCTTTGCCTGATCTGCTTCGTGGGGATGTTTGACGAACGTTGGACGGGAGAAGAGAAGAGGTCAGTCAAAACAGAAGGGCGAGATGGGCAACGATGTGGTTTTATTATGACGGGAGGCAAGCATGCAGTCAGTAGGAAGGTACCTTCTGCAGTAGGTCGGTAAGGCAGGTAGGCATTGGGTAGGTACCTTTGGAGCAACAACAGCGACAGCGGTGGCGGCAGCTGTTCCAGCAAGTCCCCAGTCCCACGTTCTTTCTGTGCCTGTCTTTCCGATGCGGTAAGCGCGATGGGGAATACTGGCTGGACTAGAAAGCAGGTGCAGCTTTACAGGGTGTCCTGCCGCACCTTCCCTCTTGAAGGGGGAAAGAATGGCAAGCCGGCCGGGCAGGTGCCGCAATCAAAGCGTGTGCGTACGCAGTAAGGTAAGGTGTGTTGCGGCTTGCCCGCTCGCCCTCACTTTCCCTCGCTTTCCCGTCCCTTCCCTTCCTTCCCACGATGATTCTTAGTCGCAGGTTGCTGGTCTTGGCTGCTGCCCACAAACAGGGTGTATTCGTGCAAGGGTGGGCGCACTAACAGTGAGGTGTGTGGCTGGGGTCCACACATCACTGAGGACGGCGGGTGGGGGGGAGAGGGGAACCTTCCTAGCCAGGTACCTACCTTAATGACCAGGAAGTGGTGTCTAGCGCGGCCTTGGCGTGTCTTCTCCAACGCGCCCGCCGTACCTCCGCCGTATCTCTTCGAGTTCCCACCGAGAAATTCGCATTCTGGTCAAGTGCTGGGCGACTTTTTCTCGTTCCTTGTTGTGGTGAAAGGCGACACCGAGGCGAGGCGCGAGGTCAGAACTGTGCTGCCCGACTGGCCATCACCCACCCACTTACTCACTCACCGCGATGGACCGTCATCATATCCATCTGCACAGACAGCCAGGCCGCACCGGGACGGACTCTTATCGGCAAGGGCGGTCGCGAACCGTCTGGCCGGGGTGGTACGTATCCCAACATCAGATACGCTTGCTTTGCTTGAAGCGGGTGGCCGCAGCTGCAGCACACCAGCCAGCAGCTCCAAGCAGCAGCTCTGAGGCACTTATGCAACTAACCTCGCACAGAAAATAGCTCTGGAAAAAGCTAAGACAGCGCCATCCCGATGTTTTGGTGTGGTGCGAGCGCGCCGCGAGAAGAAATCAAATCGAAGTTTGAAATTTGCAGCGCAATTTCACCAGACTAACACGCTGCAATCAAGCCTCGCCCTCAACCACCCACCCGCCAATTGGCAAGGACCGACACGCCGCCATGTGGATGCCAGTGCTGGGCAGGCATAGGCTGTCCCCGACTCCCCTGCCGCGGTGCCTGGCCCTTGTCGCCTCAGACTTTGGAGACTCCGAGACTGAAACTTTCGTCGGTCCCTCGTGATGGCCTCACTCGCCTCGTCGCATCTTTCTCTCGCTTCTTCCATTTTTAACCCCGGCGGTGCACATGTTGGTCATGCCAAGCTGGAGGTTCCCCCTCGTCATTGCACGAGAGCCCGAGGCAGCCTGCCAACTGACTGAGGGAGGTGCTGGTTCGGTACGGACACGAGCCTCAATGGCAACGATGGTCAATTGAATTCGCCCCTGCCTCGACCACACCGTTCCTCCTGTCTATCCAAACTCTGGCACACACGACACACAAACTGAAAGCGGCTACTGCCCGCGGACGCGACCTGATGGGACGGACTACAGACAGGTTGGGATGGGATGTTCATTGGGCCTAGGCGACGGTCGCAGTGCCAAGCCTATTCAAATCACATTCCTCGGTGGTCTCTGTCTCATCATAGACTGCCCGAGGGGGACGACGAGATTTTTTTTTTCCTTTCCCACTCAGATTTTCCCATCAGGCCCGGGCTCTTCATCTCGGGCTAACGTTACCCAAACAGCTCCACCTTCCGCCGTTCTTTCCCTCTGACTCCGCGCTGCAAAGCTATTGGCTGATTGCCCTTTTCTGGAGTCGGCAAGACAGCGCTAGTCCAAAGAGGGGATGGACTCAGAAGGGTGCACCAGCCACAGATATGCAGCTTTGGGATGTTGCCGTGGCCCGGGAGACCTGCAGCGTGTGGGGACATGGGTATCTATTGCCAATCAACTGGACGCAATCCATTTCCCTGTTGCAGTGGTGCCGTCGCGTCCGTTGTTGCTTGTTCTTCTTCTCAATGGATGGAACCGCGCCCATCTCTTCTCCTCGGAGTTTCCTCCAGACTGCCGGTAGGAACCCGGACACAACCCTCTCAGGCTCAGATCATCGATGACTTTTCTTACGCGCCCAGCAAAAAGTGGTCCAACCCACCGCACCTTGTGGACCGCTAGGCTCTTGTCCGCCGCCTTAAACCCGTCGTCGTTCATGTCCAACAGTGGACTCTCCCATTGAACGCTGGTGCTAACCCCTCAGTGGGCACCCAACTGCGTTCAGTGCTCAAGCTGAACCATCACCGACGAATACACAAGACACATGCACAACACAACTCCAACCATCGGCCTACACAACCTCCTCCGCACTTGCACTTCACAGTGCCGTACCATCGCCATCACCTACCACTCTGGCAGACACAGCGTCTCATCTTTCGAAACAGTCCTCGCCCTCACCAACCCCTTCTCACATCACAACCTCCTCATTCTCGCTCTTGGCAGTCTCTGGCCGCTGCTCTCCAGGGCTGGCTCATTTGGCCCCCTGCCGCATCCCAGTGCCATTCCGTGTTTCTGTTGGCGGCCCCTTGCTTTCAAACATCTCTTGCAATGCAATCACCCTACGGATAATCACCACCCCAGGCTCATAAGCATTCAACCATAACGCACGGCAGATGCCATTGGCCTCCGCAAACCGATGCCCGCTGCTTGCTAAGCACTGGCTTTTGCGGTCGAACCCGGCACCAGCTCCAGTTTATTTTTCTTTCCTTGCCGTGCCTTATCACTGCTCATCTTGGCACCTAGAAGAAACTACTCTCTACTAGGACGAATACTGCGAAGTTGGTACGCTGCGCTAGCCCTGAGGTGGCATCCAGCACCTAAGGTATCGGCCGACGGACGGACGTTCCTGCCCAAAGCTCCAGCGCCGTTGCAAGCGCCATCACCAACTGGCAATCTGCGTTGTCAAAGAGGCCGCCTCTCCCCTACCAAAACCGGGGCTGAAATCAAGACAAGACGTTCTCAAATCGGCTAAGCGGCCAGTCAGAAAGAACAATACAGGACCTCCAGCAGTCCACCTACAGGCCCAAGCCTGCAAGCACGCTGTTGCAGTAGTACCGCCGTGGGTACC